TGAATTCAGGAGGTTGAGTGGGTTGACCAGTCTCAGAAAATTAGGCATAGAGAAACTGAGTGCTTATCTGGATACTTGCACATATATATACTATATGCTCAAGACTACAAGACCTCTGGGACTAGCACAAAATGGGTTTGGGGAGCTTGGAGCCTCCCAGGAAAGTGGGGTTCTCACTTTTTAAGACAGAGGTTTCACTTTTCTCTTTCCAGACAGCCTGGACTTTAAAATAGAAAGCAGACGCAGGGCCAGGCATTGCCCTGAGCCACATTTGCCCCTGGAAAGTTTCAGCAGTGATGCTGATTTCCACTCCTGCTCATCAGTCTGAACACTTAGTGACCTTAATACAGAAAAACTTGTTATGATAACAAATATAACTTGCTTCAGGGAGCACAGTGACCCTACACTGGGGAAATGCCAAACTCCTTTCCCGACTCATAGTATGTGCAGTGCAACCGAAGTAAGAGAGCCACAGACTACAGACAAATTGTGAAAAAGCATCATTCCACTGAACTTCATTTCAGATTACTTCTGGCAATGTTATTCCTCCTTCCTTCCTCTCGAAGCATCTTCCTCTTAATCCTAGCGACAGGCAACGAAGCCTGGTGAAAACTATGTGGTCACTCAGCAGTCTGCCAGGATGATTTTGTCCTGATGCTGGCTGTCAGCCCATGCACCTGCTCCCAGCCACACTGTCCCTCCTCATTACCTCAATCTGTCATTTGGCCCCAACTGCCACACGTGAGGTAGTCTCGTTGTCAGCTAAGGCAATGGCTCTGACAAACCGGCATCATCACCAGCAAAATAACTGTATCACAGCACTCACAATCAGTGGCAATGCAATTATTTGGAGATAATTGGGACAAGAAGTCCATGGTAAAAAGCAAGTAGAATGGTAACTTAGGAAGTGATGAGACTAACACTGTAGGCGTCAAAAGTGACACACATCAAGTGCCTAATATGCATTAGCGAGCATGTGAATTTGCAGAGCTAGTCACGGTGATTTCAAAAATTACTGTTTCTGTTTGAAACAAGCACCATGAAGATATACACTTTTTTGGCTCTCTAGGAGCTTCTTGATACCTGCTGTGATAATGGCAGTTACCAGTGGAACTCTCTGCAGAGAACAGAAACCCTGTTCTTTTGTACTGGTGCACACCTGGAATAACACCGCTTCCAGCTATAGAAACTTTCTTTTGCTTCAATAGAAAGCAGAATCTAGAAGAATGAATAATAATGGAATAGCATTAGGGCAGCAATGTTTTTAGCAACTTATGGTTCATCTCAGTACATTTCTGACTACTATTTACAAAGCAAATGGTAATATGGAGCTGTGAGATTTAGCATCAGCAAACAGGTTCCGTGTATGTTTCTATCCACCCAGAAGACAGCAATGTCCAAGTAACAGCGCGTAAAAAGCCTTCCCCCTGCTTTTCTTCCCTTTTTCACGAGACCATCCCATGTGGTCACAGTGTTAGTGCTACCCCACCTGGTTACTGCAAGCACTTAACTTGGAACTGCTCTGTGGGAAAGTAAGAGCTGATCTTCATTTGATCCTGCGCAGGACAGTCTCTTACTGACCAAAACAGAGAGCACACAAATCAGTGTAGCACATCTTCTACACAGCACCCCTACACTGACTTTCCATACCTCCTAGATACTATCATAGATCCAGAGCTGCACATTGGTGGGAGCTAGAATATTCTGGGGAACTGTTGCTACATCCTTGCCCTTTCCTTATGCAAGTTCACACGTCTGCTCTTGGCCATTGCCAGAGACAAAACACTGGGCTAGACAAACATCTAGTGTAATTCAGAACTGCCACTCTTGTGCAATTACTCTGACACAAACACCCAACTAAGTAATTTTGTAGTACTGGCATTAAAGCTGCAAACCACCCAAGTCTCTGAAGGTACCTTCTTAGAAAATTACTCATTTCAACCTTCAGTAAGTCTTGTGTTCACCTGTACTAGGTGCGATTAATGAACCTTGGGAAAAAACTCTTAGGGAAGAGGACATGTTCTCAAAGGGACAAATGTGGCTGTTGCTCAGCTCCAAGATCAAAACTCAAGTGGGTTCTTCCATTTTCTTTCCCCCAACACAACTAAATGGCCTACCAGTCCTTTCCCTTGAAATAATAATAAAACACATTTGTATTCAATGACTGAAAGACAAAGAGAAGATGGCAAATGTCAGCTGTAGCAGGGAATAAAGCTATTAATGGGATATATGCCTGGATCACTTGAAGGCAGGAGAGTGAGGCTAGGACCCAGGCACTTCTCTTCTGTGTACAAATCATTTACTCACATGTCTAATTCCCTCTTGCAGCTTTTGGTTCAGCACTGTTGTTTTACAACCCATGCTCTCCATTCAGTTTGACGTACACCCATGTCACAGTTTGCCTCTGGGAAGGATAAGCACTTTATACTAAGATTCTTGCATGATAACCTTTCTCTTTCTAATCTGGGTTCCAGTTTTAACTATTCTGATCTTGAGCGTTAGCTTCACATGAAGATGTAAAAGCTGTAGGAAATGAAGGCCGTTATTTTCATCAGTAGTACTGATGACCTGCAATGACAGTTTTTCACATTGCCTCAAATATTGAAGTAGTTCGTTTATAAAGACAAGATAAATGTTATGCCACTATTTTTTATTTACTATAATCAGTCAGCATCTGAAACAAATCCAACACACTTTGGAATGCTTTTTTTCAATAGGAATAAGTAACACAATACTAAGCTACAATTAATATCAAGGTTAGATAACACACTCTGGCATTAACAGTCCCTCCTTGAGTTGAGGAAGGTTAACTAAAGGTGGCACAATCTTGACAAATGCAGACAGGATTTTTGCACAGTATGTGCACACACAGACACCACTAAAGAAAATACTCCCCACTTCATAGTGCAGGCAGGCAAAAGCCAGACTTTTATTTAAGTTTAAAGTAACATATACTCACCTACATCACAGTATACTGCTTAGTTTATCACTTCTGCTTTGAATTCTGTGCTTTCATTTCACATGTCTACATTTTGCAATTGTGTACACACTGCAAAATTAACTTGGTATATCATTTAGCATCTGTGCATAACCTTTAGAGCTTAATGTTACAGTGAAATTGAAAGAAATCTTGAATTTTAAGGTTCTGAAAACAATCAATAAAATTCCACTGAAAAAAACCCAGTATAAATGTTTCTTGTAGTACAGTACTCTTAATTTTATGTCAGTGTCATTTTAATGCCATAGTTTTCAATTATTCACTGTATAAAGAGAAGCCTAGGGAAAAAAAATTATCTAAAATGCCATTCATAAGTCTGTTAAACTCTGATGATTTATGATATATGTACAGTATATAAATATATTTATGTATATATGTACATATATATTGGTTAACGTTTATTATAAATAGAACTGTGTCAACTTAAGCAGTATAAAAATAGCCACTTTCCTGGGAACATGCAAACACAGTATGCTCTCACTTAATCTATAAAACCCAAAACAACCAAAACCTTTAGCTCTGGTTTTCTATAAATATAAATTTTAATTGAAGACTTTCAGCTGATTTAACCATAAAGTAAGTTTTTCCAGTGAAGATATAAAATCTGTTTGATGTTGGCTATAATTAAGCTCAAACACAGTATATTTTGGGTTATTTACTTTCAAGTATTTTCCCCATGTGAGCTAAATCTAGACACACTGCTTTTTTTTCTTTTAAAGTAAAATATTATTCAGCTCTAAACACTAAAAGCCAAATTATAGGCAATCTGGCATGCTTGCTCTGCAGGGAAAAGGCTCTCCTCTACACCATTGCTATGTGGGAGGCTGTCCTAATATGGCTATTTGTGCTCCAGATCTTTTGTTCATTGCAAAGCATTATCAAGATTCCTGTATCATAGGTTCTTAAGGCCAGAAGAGAGAGTACTACAACCACTTAAGTCTCATCTTCTGCTCACTGAAATTCACTCTGAGGTCCCTGCATTCAGCACAGTGACTGGTAGCTGGACTAAAACACCTCTCCTGTTACAGCCAAAGAGGTTCCAGCTTCAGAAGTTGAGCAAGATCTTGACTTTTTAGCAACTTTTCCCAAGGGGAAAAAATTTCGGTTCCATCTGAACCAAATGTGACATTTTTCCTTTTTTCTTGCCATATGAAAAACTGAAAAATTGTTTTGCCCTGAAACATCCCCTTCTCCTCCAAAGTGCTCCGAGTACTAGTTAGAAAAGCAAAAGAAGAAAAAGGGGCTACGTTCAAAGATGACACTGTTTCTGTTCGTCTGCTTACCCATCAGCTCAGCAGAGAGCACACACTGGGTTGGACTATGGAAGAAGCAGTGCTGAGTCCTTCTTTTGCTGAACAGATTTCAACCATCTACTAGGAGAATGCCATAAGCACGACTGTGCCAATCATGGCACATGCTGACTCTTTTTCATTCCATTCCACATAGCTAAAAACACACTCCTCCCCATTTCAGAGGACAGAGGACTGACATGCAGCTGTCTCCCTTTCCTACAATGCCATCTCACCCAGTACTTTGAATTGGTCTCACTATCTCTCAGAGTTTACAAAAGTATTTCATACAAAGACAAACAGCATGGAAGACTCAAGGCACACTCTCTTCAGGACCACATTTTTCTTGTGATTAGGGGACCTTTTAAGGAAGTAGGGAATCTGAATGTAAATGGCCTGGGCAAAGGAGGGACCAGAGCCTTGTTTTTTCATTCCTAGAATTATTATTTGCACCTGCAAGTTACTGGGTAATGGAGGGATGATCTAGATACTACCCCCTCCAGCAGATCTATAGGTATTGCTCTGGAAACGTTTTCCAGATTAAGATATTTGGTGTGTTTGGATTAAATCTGTGACTACACTTCTGACAATCAAAAGTGCACATCCCCAAATTTGCTATGTCACCCAGCTGCAAGATGGGGTGTGCAACTAAATGAGTTGGATGTCAGTGAAGGCCTACTCTCCTAAAGATGTTGGATGAAGTTGCTTGTGCAAGCCTTTCTCTCTGGCACCTCTGAAAGTGGTACACCTAACTCCACATCCCTCAAGCAAAATGACCTAATGTTCCCAGCCACATCCTGCATTTTTTCCCTATTCCCCAGGGTGTCTCCCACATTTTTCCCAGAAGTCTTTTCTATGTCAGAAGTGATGAATCCTTGTTAAAGTAGCACAGTCTTCCAGCTTTTATATTTTTCAGAAAAAAAATATGAGGCATTCTATTTCTTATGGTAAGTAGCATAAATGCACCAAAACAATGGTATGGATACCCCTGTATTAATTGTTTAGAGAGCTGTCATTGGAAGTTGGGGAGTGGGAAGTCACAAAAGGCTCGTTTGCCTTCTGATCGTCCTTCATGGAGGCTGCTTGGTCTGAGATGGAAGAGAAGGAGAGCTGGTCATGTTCCATTATATGCACTTGGTCCTCTTCCTTGTCCTTCTTCACATAAAACAACTTCCTAAACTTTTTGAGCTCATGGAGTTCACAGAAAGTCTCGAGAACCACCAACATCGCAATAAGGCCCAGCAACAGATAACCTGGGCACAAAAAAAAAAAAAAATGAAGGTGTTTTAATTATTAGCAAATTAAGTGGGGCTGGAACAGTTTTATCTGTGTAACTTTTCCCACCCCTCCATCTCTGAATAGTATGTTAGTTTTCTTCATGACCCAGTTTCAGAGCTCTGTAACCCACTTTGGACTGTCAAGTGCTTTTTTCACTTTTTTTTCATTCTACAATAACAAGACCCCACATAACCAAAAAAAGTAACGCTAGTCGCTTTAATTCTGTTACAACTGTGCAAGGGAAAAATCTGTAAAGGCATTAAATGAAACAGAATACTAAAATTTACCACATGCACACTCCCCCTCTTACTTACAACCTTCATGATTAAGTGCTCTTCAAAAGATTTTTTCCCTTAATATTCCTACATGTTACAAACAGAAGTAAAAATATGGCAGCTTATTATGGTTACTTGTTGTTTGTACCAGTTTAGCAGAACAAATCACTTATATTTCATGAAAATTTTTGAATTATTTTTCTTTAAAATTATAAGATATCCAACACCCTGAAATGAGTGGAAAAACAAAGCAACTAGAAACGTGTACAAAACCAATAAAATCAAAATGAAAAATTACTGTAAAATTACTGCTGATATTTTAAAAACCTGACAAAGTTGCTATATCTGAAGACACCTTGAAGATTATTTGCAATGTTTTACTAACATACATAAACTATCCAAACTTGGAAGTGTTACTTAAATGATATTACTGATGACTTTGGTGGCGTAGTGACTCTGATTTTTAAAGGTAATAGTCAACTCTCAGACTGAGACTTTTGGAGATGGAGCTTTGTATGGTTAACAGCCTGCTGTGCTCTTTTTTTTTTTTTTTCCTCCCCTTCTCCAAACATATGCATATAGAATTTGAGGGAAGGTGTTAAAATGAGCACTTCTCAATCTCAATGTTTCATTAGATCCCTGCTACTGATCATTACAATTTAATGAGGAGTATGACTACTTGAATATTTTATCATTTTGATGAGTAAATCAAGCAAAAGCTAAGTGTATAATTAGTACAACATGCTCATCCAAGGGCTGAACATTAAATGTGCTGAAAGAGCAACACAGATTAATTATTATAATCTACATATGGTAACTGTTCTGCTACCTAAAGGCATAAATATTTCACCTCTAGTTACAGATTATTCACTAGCAATAACACTCTCCTTTTCCTTCCAGGAGCACTGTTAAATCAATATTGCAATACCAGGTACTGACCTAAATCAGCACTACAGCTAACATTTATGAATTGTTTTTAAGCTTTATCTCATGACATCAAATGGGAGATACACATTAACACAAGGAAGAAGTGACAAAGCTATGCCAATTAAAAGGCATCTATAAATCTGCACTGAGAATTTTGTAATTATCTCTGAAACTCAGTCCAGCTGATCACCACTTGATTTAGAACAGGACATGTATTCTCCTAAAAATTCTTGAAAAGCCTGTAGCACTCATTAAGCATTTTCTGATGTAGATCTCCAAAACTTTTCTTGAAGAAAACTTAGGTTCACCAAGAAAATATTTTATACATCCTGTTCGGTTCCTTGATTTGTTCACATGAAAGGAAAAAGAATAATTTAAAAGTTATGACCTTAAAAACTGTTGAAATTAAATATTCTAAGGTCATAGCTTTGCCTAAAAGCTACTTTTTCCTTTTAGTATTTCCTGCAGTTTATTTCCTAAGTGTTCTAAAGTTTGAGAAAGCATAATTTGAGCCATAACATTTTCTTCTCATTTTCAGTTTTCAGAATGGCGAATTTTTACAATGGCTTTACTATGCATGACTTTCTCCATTCACTTCATCATTTAGCATCCCCAAATCAACTCTGCAGATCAACAGAGTAATAACTAAAAGCTACTGCCGGTAAGATAAACATGATGGGTAGAGGGGGAAATTTCCTGAAATGACAACAGGCCTGGCAGGAGAATAAAATAAAGTTTTCTGTTGGCTAGTTCAAGGCCCTGCTTCAAGGAATGAAAATTCAAGGCCCAATCTTTTTTTTTTAGGTAAAACACAAAGCCAAGTTAAGGGACACTTTGCCTATGTTAAGATTGTTGGATCACGTACAGGAGCACAGACAAATGCATACCAGCCTAAGAAATGGACCTGACAGGAAAGATTTGTTTTGGCTGTTCAGATCTTTTAACCGGTGTATCTGATGAGCCATGACTGCGCAGACTGAAGCCGTACCAGAAACTGGGATGCTTCAAAACACCGTCACTGGAGAATATTGCCCTCAGCGCACAGACATGCAGAATGCCAACACAAAGATAATTTTCTTAGCTCTACTTTGATCAAATCACTGGTCACTGTGCCTCTCTTCTGCGTCAAACATAATTAAACAATTTAAATTTAACATTCATCGTCTTGCTTTGCTATCATCTCGGTCCACTTGTCTCCTTTCGACAGCTGGTATGTACCAGTGCCAGCTTCAGCTATCTTCTGCTACAACTGGAGTCAGAAACTTTGCTGTTCTGCCTCAATTTCCATTGCTCCTCGATTCATGTCTGTCTACCTGTCATCTCACCTTATGAGATGACCTTAGGTTACAAGGATCATCTTCCTGGATCTGTGATGGACTGAAATCTTACCCCAAGATGCTCATAACCATTTTCATAACAGTAATGTGAGCATTTTTTTCTACTATTAATAAAAGACTAAGTAGCTACGGTTTAGTATTAGTCAGAAAATTGACCTTATTTAAAGGTTTCCTCTTTGCACAGCTGCCTACAATGCCCAGTTTGCTAGCTGACAGTTCACAAAACAATCACCGTCCACAGAATGGAGATTTGGGGTTTTTTTAATAAAATGCCTTTTATTTAGCTGGTTAGTTTGACACTTACATGTAATTCCGATTTTATACAGCTCTCGGAACTTCTGATTGTAGCCTTCTCCTGGCACATAGTCTCCAAGGCCAATGGTGCTCAGGGAAATGAAACAAAAGTAAAAAGATTCCAAAAAATTCCAGTCATCTTCCAGAACAGAGAATATTGCTGCTGGGATTAAGAAGAAGCACGAGACAGTGATGAACCCAAGGACTATAGCATGGATGATTGCAACAACCTGCTTGGAGAAGCCCCAGCGGATGTGGAAATACAGTACAGGCCGCCTGGTGACATAAACAATGATGCGCTGTACCACTGCTGTCAGGAAAAGCAGTGTAAATGGGATTCCGATGGCTGAGTAGATAATGCAGAAGGCCTTTCCTCCATCAGATAAAGGCACTGTGTGTCCATAACCTGGAACAAAGCAAAGGAGGCATAGGTTGAGCTAAAGCTGGGAGCTCGCGTACAAATTTGATATTGGCGATATTATGTGAGGGGGAAAAAAAAAAAAAGTTTCACTATTGCTAATTCTGAATTCTGCTATTCTTGCCAAATGCCATTCAGAGGTCTGTTTTAAGGAGGCAAACAAAGCCTAAATACCAGCAATAAACAAGTAAAAATAAAATTAAATTTTGTATTTCAAAATTGTGAACGTAATTATATAAATGCTTATTTTGGAGAATGAAGTAATGCCTAGTCAGGAGTGGAAACACATGCCAGGAAATCTGTGTTTTATTCTGGGTTTTCCTGCTGACCTTTTTGTTTAGTTTTACAAAGTGATGTAACTTCTTTTACCCACCTTGTCAAGTGGAATAATCCATACTTCAGAAAAATGTTCCTACATCTACTTTGTAGTAAAACACGCTAAGACCTTTTGTGAAAATCATTTAAATTACATGGAAGTCTTATAATCAGCATTCCACACTATATACTTCCATGCTTCTGCAAGGTGTTTAGATGATAGTCCATCAAAGATATCTAAAAGCAGAACAAACATTTTCACAGCAAAGCTCCTGGGATCTAACCACTGTGGCTGGATTTTTGCCTAGTCTTTTACACACTAGAAGTATCAATAGTGATCTGTTCAGAGTGGAGGAGCATATCCACTGGTGTACAGGCTGATCATGGCCAGCAATCTCAATTCCACAAATATGTGCAATTACACTTGTACCCAGCACAAGCAGCCATGCTGCTGAAGCAGACTCTGCCGGACAGCCTAATTCTGAATGTAAATCATACGCACAGAAAAGAACAGTAAATCCAGCATAAACCAGGAATGCTTTCTTCTGTTTGCCAACCAAAAAAAAATGAGTATCTTGTTTTCATTGTGGCATGGAAGAAGAAATCTCTCGAAATCTAGTTTGGGCAGTCTTTACACTAATATCAAACCACGCAAGTGCAGACAGGCCCTATTAATTCTGTAGCCCCAAATCTGCCAGCTCATTTGGGCTACGTTAGTGCCGTACGATGAGACATTTTCCAGAGCTACTGCAAGTAGCTATGCTGAAGAGCCCAGGCAGAGCCCAGTGCATGCAGGGTTATGTTGCTTCTGATATCTGAACTGGGCTCACTCTGCACTCACCCAGTCTGCCCAGTGCAGCACTGGACCAGGCAGACTTGCCCTGACGGCTCGGGGGAACCTACTGCCTTCTCCCCTGTGAAACTGCCTGCCCTGCAAGCCCCTTCAGTTTTTATGTGAACACACGAGAGATTACCCCTCTACATTAATGAATTTAATAGTAGAAGCATCGCTCTTTTACATTTTCTAGCAGAGTAAGAAAAGGAAATGTTCTTCTTAAGAAGCATAGAGGCACTTCCAGACAATGAAAGATAGGCAAAACGTCTTAAGATTACAATGTACAAAGTCTTAGAGAAGAAACACATGAGATGTAGTTTCTCTGTATTAGCTAACCCAACAGGAAACTTCAGTTGTATTTGAATTTTAATGACATTATGAATAATTTACCCAAGCTCAGTCTTTTGAACGCCAGAAAATGGTATTAATTAATGGCTTTTTTCTTGCTCACCTTCTGTTTGCTTTATCCGCTTTGAGATAAGAGAACTGGAACTGCACAAAGCATGCCAGACACAGCTGAATCAGGTTTATGAAGTTGCAGGGAAGGTTTCTCACCTTGTGTTCTACTCTGTCCCCAGTAATGCTGGACATTTGACTGGCATTTCTGACTACCACTGAGCTGACACTCTCTTGGCCCTGTCTATCAGAACCCCAGGATCTTGCCACTCAAGAGGTATCTGGGGATCCACCAGTGCAGATCCCATCACTTCGTATGTAAAACTACGACTAGTTTTGCTGTGTGCATGACTTAACATTTTATCCTCACTCATTTTCAAGTGCCTTTTTATTGCCCAGTTGCCTTGTGGCTCGTCCATCATCCTTACTGCCTTAAATAATTTTGTGTCTTCAGTAAACTTTGTTACCTCTCTCTTCCAGGTCATTTATGACTCTGTTGAACAGCACAAGCCCCATGCAGGCCTCCAAGGAACAACCCTTGTGACATTCCCCTACTCCAAGAACTAACCATTTTCTCCTACTCTGTTTTCTATGTTTCCCTATCTCACATCCATATGAGGACCAGCCCCAGTTGCTTACTTTTCCTGAAAGCATTTTGTGACAGACAATCAACTCCAAGTTTGGAAGAGAAGAAATGTATGTTTCAAGTAGATCGCAGGGTATCTAAAACTGACCCATGTGGCAACTGCAGTGCTCCATCACATCAAGGTGTCTTCAGTAAAGGAGAACTAGAGGTGTGTTATTTGAGTAAGATGCAGATCAGACCTCATCTGGACTAATCTACCTCATTCTGTATATCCACACTTAAAAAATGAATTCACACTGGAAGAAGAGCAGAGAAAGGTTACTGAAACCATCAGGGAAAAAGAGACTATTTTACAAGAGGAAGATAAAAGTGGTTGGGTTCCTCTGCACAGCTGAATGGAGGCTAAAAAGTGATATACTATCTCTCTGTTAATGCATCAGCATACAAGTACTACCAAGGGAAAAGAAATGCTTTAGATGAAGAATAATATTGCCACACAAACAAATAGCTTTGATGCAGCATGAATAAATTTGGTCTAGAAATTAGAAAAAGGTTTTTAAGCTTCAAAGAAGAGTTTTGGAGCAGCCATCCACTTTCAATACTGGGGAAAAAGCCCAGCTGTGTTTAAAATGGAGCCTAATGAAGCTCAGTAACTACAGATGGTGCAGTATCATGAGGCTATACATGACAAGCAGAAATTGAGTTCACAGACCTAGAAAGTTCCTTGCAAGCTCCAGGTTCCTAAATTTAACATATGTTTGCACTGTAGAATTAATCCCAGCTTTCATTAATTTGAACTCAAATTTCTGTATCATGTGTACAAAAAAAAAAAAAAAAAAAGAATCCCTGACACATTGGTCAGTTCATTATGCACAGAGCAGGTTGATGGTAATTTAATTACAGCCTCTGCACTGACCCAGGCAGCAATCAGCTCATTTCTTGGTGAGAAGGGGTTCTGTTACCTCTCCAATACTTCTCTCATAATTCCTTCCTAATGACAGACATTATCCTTCTGGGTGCTAGACAGCATGCACCCAGACTCAGAAGAAAGTATACAATGAGAAAGACTTTACTACAGGAAAGTTTGCAACAAGTTTATATTAAACTGGGTGCTCAGACCAGCTTGCCTGGTTAACCCTTATGGAAATGTTCCCAATTCACAGAATTAGTTCAGGTACCTGAAGCAGATGCTACCTTCCGAGGTCTGTTCTGCCATTCTGGTGAGGTTGTCACATCACTTAAGGGATAGCTGAGGGGATTGTGTCTGCTCCTCAGCTGCTAACAATTACAGGAACTATAATGCTGAAGAGCATTGACAGTTTCAGACTGAGGAGAGAATATATGCTCCACTCAACCAGCAGCAGTAAGAGGATGACATCTTCCAAAAGCAATGTATAAGTGATCAATGCTTGCTTGCTACTCAGGATACAGACTCACTGCTTGGGAATGATTATATTGAAAAGCTTGAGCTAAAACAGTCACAATTTACGAGGCTATGGCAAGTGGGGATGAAAAAGATCCATAATTTCTTCCAGTATGAAACTGCTTTTATGTGACTTTTCCTAACGATGCCTATAATCTTAATCATCATTGTACAAAAGTCACTAAAAAACCCCAACACAGCCATACATTAAAAGAGAGGAAATGACGGATCTGAGGCAGGAGATACTCCATGTCTGCTTTCAGTCACTTGTGCTCTATTGTTTCCCATCTCTGCTTCTGCACCTGTTTGTAGTTTCTTTGTACTGTAACCTCCTTAGGGAAATTCCCTTCTACAATCCCTCTGTAAAGGGCCTAACACATACTAGTTCTACATAAATGACAGATAATAAAATGTATGCCAATTTGCCTTTTTCAGTGGAAACTACCATGCTCAGAAGCATTACAATTGCAATCCTAAGGTATGCTTTTTGTTATGAGAAAAGATGCTCACAAAAAGGGGACTACTTATGAAGACATTTCTTTATTCTATCAAGGAGACTTGCTATGGGTGACTAGAATTAAATTGCCCCTGTAGCATATCTCATAACTGTATTACTGATTAGGAAAACAGACAAGATTTACTGAATGCTGTGTTTTCAGATGTATAATGCAAATATCAGATAACAATCACCTGTTTAAAAGCACTGACCTTTGAAAAAAACAAACTCTCAGATAACCTGCCCAAACTCAGAAGCAAAAGTGACACCAGAGAAAAGGATATTACTCACATATAATCCCTTCTATTATCTATTCATACGTTAGAGATACCATTCCTTCAAAAAGGCTCACAGAAAAAAAAAAAAAAAAAGCATGCAAGACCAGCAGGATTTGCCAAATTAAATAAGATCAAGACTCCATCTAGCTCAGTGTCTTGAGACAGACCATATTTGATTGATCATACAAAGAGCAAAGCCCACAAGATGCAGACAGTTGGGTTTCAGTTCTGTTCACATATGGGGATTTATTCCTTAAAAGTCATTTACTCTCTTATGACTTGGAAGACTTCTATACTGTTACAAGTTTACATAAATATACAAAATGTCTTTACCTGTTCTGATGTAATTTTGACTGTCATCATAGTCTACAAAAGTGCTTATTTTAAAAAATAATTGGTGCTGTGAGTAATACAGGTCAATTATGTGTTCAACAAAATATTTACTATTCAATTTACTGTGTTTCAAGTTAGTCTTTTGCTCTTATTGCTTTCTAAAAAGGCTTGGTCATGACTCTATACTTTTCAGTGGTTTGTATCCCTCTTGTGCAAGTCCCTCTTTTGTTTTCTTTTCTGTCTTACCTGTGTCTAATTGTTCCCGTTAGATCACTTTGTAGAGAAATAGGCAGAACTGATCATCATACTCCAGGTAAGATATATTTTCTCCCTCCATTATTATATACCATCACGCTTTGTTTTGCAGAGTCTCTAGGTAGCTTACAACAATGTCCAACTCGTAACAGCCTATGTCAAACTCAGTATTGCGTACGAGCATTTCACACTACTCTTCCATCCTCTGTTAGCTTGGCAGTTGTTGGCACTGGGTGTTTTCTCCTTTGATCTTTCTCAGATACTGCCTTGACCAATCTAAACAGTTCTGTATCATCACTGCTTTGTCTCTTCATAGATCAGTCCCTCCTGTATCTCACCAATTGGTCTCCTCTCTGGTAAGAAACAGTGGCCACCTTACAGGTCTTTCAGGACCCTGAATTGAGCATTAAGTGCCAGACTGCAGAGGTGCTGCAATTCTGTGTTGTGATAACCCAGCCTAGACTCCCACACAGAAGTCCCCAGAGGCTGCCCTGAAGGGTGGATGTTTGAAAGTTGTAAAGGGATCTGACATCAGGTGAGGCAAGCAACAGGCAAACAGAGGCGCCACAGCCCTTGGAAAGTTTCCCCCAGACAGCCTCGCCTAGCTATGGTGATGAAGCCTGGAAAGTGTGTATGCAGGCTGCAGCACTGGCTCTTTCTCGAGCCCCTCTGTTACACTTCCAGGACATTGGCTGTCCGTGATTGCTCTCATGGGCTGGTCCCATGAATGGGGACCACCGTCCACAGCATTAAAGCTCACTCCTCTCCCTTCATGAATTAAACAGCCAATGGTTTTGCGTTGTCTGTTTTCTTCTGCGAGGTGCTCTTCTCCCTCTTTTCTACCACAGGTTTTGTCAAGACACTGCTCCCTCCGGTCCCCTTAGCCCTGGGTGACCTGTTGCAACACCACCAGCCCTATGTGGCACCACCGAGCTTCTCAGGGCAGGGAGGGGGTTATCTTCAGTGCATCCAGTGTCCTCCCTGACATGCCCATTCAGATGGCAGAGTCATAACGCCCAACCCCAGTGTGGCAGCACAACACGACAAACGTGCTTATCCCTTTGCTGGTTTGAGTCAGTGTCCCTGAAGAGAAGTCAGCCCTTTAAGTCTGTTCATAGCACATGATTCACTTCATCTATTGGGATGTTTTGAGACTATCTATTAAAGTTATGCAAAAATCTTTCATTCATCCCAAGCGTAACATGACTCACTGGAATATGATGATAAGGAAGGTCAATGATAATATTTACACAATATCTACACTGTTATTTTTATAAACCTTTGACATTTTCCACTGTTTAACAGTGAAATACATCCTTCTTCATAACTGATCTATTATCTTCTACGATGAAAAGGAAATGTCAGACGATGGTAGATCCATGTGGTAAGAGAGATTACAAGTAAGCCTCAAGTATTTTTTCTATTGCAAGGAAGAGCATAGTAGCAACTAAAGCGATCAGAAACTTGCCTTACAGAGTTCAAACCAACAACATTATGATTGAAGTGGCCTGTTAGGAAGTTTATGTAAAGTACAGCAGCTGTGTGGGCCATAAATTTGCAGGCAAAAGGCCACCAACCATACAGAACAAATTATGAGAAGATATGCTATATTATGCAGCATAACTACATATGCCAAAGCATCTGCTCAGAATCAAATTCTTTCAGAAAAGGTATTGTGTTTTTTCTGCTTCTATAGGGTGTGCACTGGGAAGGACCAGCTTTAAATATGGCTAGTAGGCAGGTAGTTAACCAGCCTTTTAGCACACCATTGCACATAAGCCTTTCTTCCCTGCAATACAGATAGAAAAAAGAATGTAAAGGACCATAAACAGACATGAAAACTGGTCCATAGCTAAAAATGTGCAAAACAGTAGCACTGTGTGGCTAGAAAAGACTTTTCAGAACTCTTAGTCAGAGGTTTGAGACACAGCAATACCATTAAAACAAGACATTACAACAGAGTTGTATGTTAAAAAGGGGTAAAAATTAAAAGTTCACCAATACAGTTTTGTTAAACAAACCTGAGAACTTTGATTTCCAGCCAGGCTGAAATAAGCTACCCTATATGGCAGAAAGGAGGAAAAATTCCACTACAACAGGAATTTTTAAGCAGAGGAAATCCATTTGGATGTTATATTTTGCTAC